CTTAGGACAACTTTGATTAATTTTTTTATTATATATATATATATATATATATATATATATATATATATATATAAAGCAAATACATACATTAATGCTAAACTATTTTTTTTAAATGTTTCATGTAAAACTATAGAAGGTTTTCCTACCAGCTTTGCAAATGAAATAGTTTGCATAATATTCTGTGAAAACCAGAAACTGTCTTAACAAAGCATTAAAAAGAGTAGGAAATTTGAAAAAAATTGAGCAATAGTCTCCTGAGGATTTGATTTGCCTTAACGAACAACACAATAAACGTATGAATCTACTTCTATTTCACGGTTATATTTCACTGAATAAAGTTTATTTTCTCTACAGTGGTCTAAATGGCCTCAAAACCTTGTCCAGTTAAATGATTTGGCACTTGGTTCAGTGATCTGCATTTTCAGCTCTATTTTATTCAAACTAAGATAGATGAAACACTGTTTTCTTTCAGAACCACAAAGACTGTTTTTTTCTCTCAAATCTCTGCTTCCTTTGCCAAAAACTCCTCAATGTTTTCACAGCTGTGAGGTTTGACAACAAATGAAAGACTTTCACCAGGTTTCAAACAGGTGATCAGGGTCAGGATCTGATGTAGGAGATGTGGAAATCGGCAGAGGTCAGAGGTCAAAGGTGTTTCGCTACAGTCGGCCTGATTAGGGTCACAGTGAGATTTCAGCCTGAGACAATTAACCGATGGCAATAAAAATCCAGCAGAGACAAAAAGAAAAGTGTGCTTCATTTTCTCGGTCATGAAACCCTAGGGAAAAACACTCTGTTGTCAAGCACAAAAAGAAAACACAGGGAAGCCCATCTGTTCACCCAACACACACACACTGCATCAGCACCCTTACAAAAAAACGTATTTTCCTCTTGAGCTGGCGTTACCATAGAAACCCCTTCTTTTTCCAAGAGAGTCCAATGGAAGGAGTGATTAGAATCCAAACAGAGCAAAAAAAGAAAAGTGAAGGTGTGGAGGAAGGACTGAAATACACACGGATCAGAGAAGAAGCTTTTCCTGAAGGAAATGCAAATCAGAGAAAATCCTCTTTTTAATTTTTTTAATGTTTGATCACTACTTGGATCATAAAGTGGAGTAAATAGGCCATAATCTACATATTACTTTTCAGTTCAGTTTAAATGTGTTTAATTGCCGTGACAAATGTTACACTGTAGTGACAAAGCATTTTAGTTTTTCACGACCTCTTTTGAGCTTTTCAAATTAAACACGAAATCAAATCTTTCACATTAATGTGTTTCTGATCTTATACTGAACCATTCATCTGTGCACCTTAGTCCAGAAAAAGTATCTACCTTAATAATATTTCATCATAATGTAATAACTGACTCCCCTGCTGAAACTGAAACCTAATTTCTTTAAAGACTAATGTCATGTAAAAAATAAATACAAACATACATACATACACACCTACATACATAAATGGTAACCGATACCTAAATAGCTATTTGGAGACAGTAGTTAACCTTGTGAGATATAAACTACTTTTAGAAGTGGGAAACAAAAAGTCAAAATTACCTTTTTTTTCAAACTGCTTATTTGGGCACCCTCATTTTTTTTGCCCCCCTATATAGTTAAAACTAATAGTTTTAAACCTTTTGATCCACATTTATACATTCATGCATATAAGTGTAACTATATTTATAGTTGCACAGAAACCTGGGAAAAGGCAAACAATTAAAAAAAAAACACTAAATATACACACATCCTCATAATTTCCCATGCTTTGTCCAAACACACAAAATTCAAATTCAAGGGATTATGGGTAATCCTTCGGTCATGATGTTTTTTCTTCTTCAGTGATTTCAATTAAAGTTTTACACTGAATGATATGTCTTCATAGTACATCTATCAGTATTGTCAAAAGAGCAAGTAAAATTCAGTTTTGTCTCTGATAAGTGTGCAATTTTAGAGTCCTGTAGTAAACAGCATCTGGAGGACAGATTAAAGTCTGTGGAAACAACTGTATTAATGTCACACAGAGAGTGAACAAACAGATAATTTGATTTAAAAACAATCTCGTCTAAACAGACCCATATTAGCTGAACACTGAGTTCACTAAGCCGAGACTCAGAGAAGTGTGAGCGTGTGAAAGTGTGAAGTGCATTAGACATGCAGACTCAGACTTCAGCACCATGGCAGCAGTAATAAAGCAGCTGCTTAGGATATTCTGGGATGTTACCCTCATACTGTTTCCCAAATGGTTTGACATGGAATTGTGAGGAATGTAACAAACAATCAATCACAGAGCATCTGATAATCACTGTAACCAACCAAGCTTCAGTGTCATTTTCACCGAAACACAATATATAAAGTTATGAAACTTTGCCCCCAGCCAAAACTATTTGCTCTGGAACAAATAATAGATTACTGAGACCAAAGAACTGTCCATTAGATTTACCCAAAGCAAATTATAGCTCATGTTTAACCACTATAGAGACATCAGAGCCAGCTGAAAATCCCAGAAGATCTGGCCGAGGTGAGGCTGCTCTCGGCGGGTTCTTGTGCGCTGAACGGCCGCTGACACCCTGGAGCTCACATCTCTGAAAACATTGAAGCAATTTTTCAAATAGGCGCTATCTTTTTTTTTTTTTTTTTAGCAAACCACACATAAAGTCCAAGTACATTCTTGCCTGAAAAAAAAAACTCTTAAAACTACATTATGTGATGCAACAACAGTAGTATATCAAATAGTTATCATATTTAAAACTTAAAAAAAAAAAAATAATAATTTATCTTTAAGGTTTTCTGAATCACTCAGGTATACTATATGACTACAATACAAATGACTACAAATACACAATTTCTACAAACTGAGTAAAACATTTTAAAGACATTTTTAGGTCTTACAGAGTGGAACAGCTCTGGTGCCACTAGTGCTGCAGAAATTACACACAGCAGCTGTAAGTAATGCGTGCTCAACATTACTAAATATATCAACAACAAACTCATTAGAGCTCATCATAAACATTGCTGGAGGGCTTTCAAAAGTCACTTGTTTCTTCAGAAATCATTCTAATATGCTGATTTGCTGCTCAAGAAACAATCCTGATTATCAATGTTGAAAACAGTTGTGCTACTTCATATTTTTGAGAAAACTGTCACACTTTTTTTTCAGGATTCTCTGATGAATAGAAAGTTCAAAAGAACAGCCTTTATTTGAAACTGAAATCTTCTGTAACATCAATATAAATGTCTTTGATGTCACATTTGATCAATTTCAATGCTCTTTTGTTGACAAAAATATATATTATTCTTAAAAATAAAAAAATAAAAATACTGACCTCAAGCTATATATAGACTTGTCCCGTCCAGAAGTGTAATTTCACTTTTAAGTCAACATGAACTTACAATGCATCCATCAGTTCCCCCATGGACAAAATCAAGTACCACCCAACATTTATTTCCTGTAAAAAGAAAGGAAGGTCATCATTGAGGACATCTAACTAATGGGAGAGATCTCTTTCTCTCTGAAGAGCATCAGGACAGATTGAGGTCAGTTTGTTATGTTCAGATCAGCTGTAATTAAAACTGTCTCTCATCATCATCATCACAGGACTGAAAGAGAAGATCAAGGCATCAAGACTGGCTGATCTTTAGACTTTAATAATGTATTAATAAAACAGTCAGGGTAGATGATTGATTCCACTTACTTTTACACAAATGAAAACAAGGCTGTGAGAGACGATTCATTTTCATGTCTAGTTTCTTGTCTGTTGCCTTTTTGTTTCATTGGCTGAATAATTGAAGTCAAGCATTTGAACAGACTGTCTATTGCTCTCACCTTGTTTTCATGTTTGTCAAATTAAATATGCCATCTGCTTTGCCTGAGGCTGCGCCCACATTAATCCAAATATGTTTGAAAACACATTTTTCTCTCTACATTTCGGCCTTTTGTCCACACTGAGACAATTAAAATGAAGATTTCTGAATTTCCAAAAAATCCCAAGTGGATAAATTAGATTTTTTTTGTGGGCTGAATAGGGAGGTATTTGAAAACAATGACACGTTTAATCATGACACATGCTATTCATGTTCATAGTTACTTTGTGCAATCTTTCTAAAAAATAGAAAGTCAATTTACTTGCAGTTGCGTTTTTAGACCATATATGCAATGCCGATTTTTAAGACCAACCTAGAGCAACCAGTGAGTGGTGGGGTATTTTGCTAATAAAATCATTGTGCCAGAAAACTGTTGTGAAAACTATATTTCATATGGTGTCGCTATCATCTCATTTAACTTTTATTATGTCTTACACATGCTCAGGATGACTGAAGTATTTTTAGATGTTTCAGTGTGGACGAGCAACTCTCTCAAAAACTTGGGAGGAAAATGCTAGTGTGGATGGAGAGTTTCAAAAAACATTTTCAAATATATCTGGCTTAATGTATATGTACCCAAGCATAATTTATCAACATACATCAGTTAGTTTTCTGCCAGTATCACTTTAGACCTGTTTATGAGACAAAACCAAACCCATCAGACCTTTAAAAGAGCTCAAAGCTCCAGCAGTGAGACATTAGAAACACTTTCAGCATGACTTACTCAAAACCCACCTTTTTTATAACACTTTCTCTGTTTTCCATCGCTGTCTCTTATCCGTCCTCTTTGGTCTCCCTGTACAGAGAGACTTCATGTTTTGGCAAAATGTTGTGTACAATATTTTAAAGGTCTTTGAAACTGACAGTGAAATTTGCTAAGAGAGAGGAAAAGAGGTCAGAACAATCGCTGAGAGCCCTATCTACTTGTTATATTTAGGGTTGTTTGGTCCAAAATTCCAAATTCACTGCCAAATTCTTTAATGAAGAGACTGAATTAGCCGTCCATCCTTCACTCTCTCTGACTCCGCCCTCCACAAACAGCCACATACTATCCCACATTCACTTGCTACCTGGAGACCACCGTGACACTGGGACAGCCAATCAGCTGCCTGAGAACTCAGCTCCTACCTTCCGATTGGCCGGCTGCACCGGCTGCAGCATCATTGCAGCCGTCTGCAATAACTGAGCCAATTACTGGCCAAGAGTCTGTCCTGAAGAACACAAACAACCAGATAATGAAGCAAAGCAGAGGGTGAAATATAACAAGAGCCGTGTAACGAGAAACAGTGCTGAAGGGAACCAGACATTAAGAGTGTGTTCTGATATTCTGAAGAGGATCTATAATGAGAAACACACAAAGAGCGAGCTTATATTGCTGAAAAATTGTGATTAAATGAAAGCAAATGGGCAGTCAACACACACCACATCATGAACAAAATAACTCTGAGCTACTAAAAATCAGTTCATCGTGTTTCTTTTTCTTTTCCTGTCTTTCACTTAACTTTCTTTCTATTGAAAATAATCAACAATCTCTACTCTGAAGAAAAAAATGGTATAGAAACAATTTTCATTAAGAAATTGCTAGTAAACAAGCAATAACAAAAAGATGGCAAGTAACACATTTAAAGTTAATATGACAATGAACAATATTTCAACAGCAAGTTTTAGTAATTTCAATACTTTGTTATATTTCAGTAAGTTGCCAAAGTAACATTTATACAAGACGGTTGACCCTGAGTGGTCAGCTAAATATCTACAGTGGATCTAAAATATGAATAGTTAATTATAACTAGTTATGGTTAATTATTCATATTTCCCCATGAGCTGATTCGCTACAATTTTAAGTTTTTAATCTAACGTTTACATTTTAATTCAGATTTATTTCATTCAACTATTTTTAATAGTTTCACTTTTACTTAACAACACTGATGCAAAACCTGCAATGTGATAGTAGGGTGTAATAATGTGGAGAGCTGCTGTTTTATGAACTCCCACAGGGGTCAGAGGTAAAGCTTTAATAAAAGCTTGCCGCAAAGGCAAAAACATGAAACATTCACACGCCTCAACACACATCCATTCAACACAAAATTACCACACAGACACAGACACAGACACAGACACAGACACACACAGGCTCTGGAGCTCTAAAGATGCAAACAGAGGCATCAGAAGATGAGTGTCAAACTCTGCCTGACAGGTGCCACATCAAACACTTTATTAAACAGCTGTAACTCACAAAACAGCATTGACCATTATTACTGGTCATATATAGGGTTAGTAATTTGAACAAACCCTTGTATGAATGATATTAATAGTGTTGCATGTACAAAAAAACATGCTGTCAGTAGTCTGTGAGAGTGAAACACATCTGGCATGAGCTGCTTTTATTTCCACAATCTGTGGATGAGTCCGATTCCATTCTTGGAGGAATAATCACCATGGTTAAAGGGAATGGAGGGATTCCATAGCAAACATTCCACTACCTCCCGACTCCTCGTCTCATAGAACATCTCTTAAAAAACCCCCCACATACTGTACCACGGAGAAAGACAGACGGACCTCACAGCACATGCCAGAAACAGCTAAACCAATTAACCCATATGCAAAACAACTCACAAACAGGAAATAAGACTTTGTGGGACCTGCATGCTTTGTGTGTTGAATGTAGGAGGCATTTCTCCCTGTGTCTGTATGAGTTGTAACAGAAAAGTGTGCGAGTGTGTGTTAGTCTGGGATTTGCTGAGAGGAAATTCCAAATCATAGCTGCAGTTTTTTCCACACTCATGAGACATAAATCCAGCACACAGATGCACACACAGGAATGTCAAATAAATGCTGTACCCCTCATACCAAATTACACACACACAAGACATGTTCCATAAATGTTACCACACATTTGTGTTTTGTACAGTCATGTTGACTCTGTGCATGTTATCTATTATACACATCTGTAAGGCACTAACAAAAAAAGTTTCTAGAAAAGTGCACAATGGCAATAATATGGTTTTGGAAATCTATGGTATTCAGTGAAATAAAACTGCCTTCAATTGAAATCAATTGTAAATGGATGTCACATTAAAGGAATAGTTGAGCCAAAAATGAAAATGGATCATGGTCATGTGGATCACTTGTGAGTTATTGTGATGTTTTTAATCAACTGTTTGGACTCTCAGTCTGACGGCACCCATTCATGCAGAGGATCCATTGGTGAGCAAGTGATGTAATGCTACATTTCTCCAAATTTGTTCTGATAAAGAAACAAACTTATTTACATCTTGGATGGCCTGAGACTGAGCAAACTTTCAGCAAATGTTAATTTTTGGCTGAACTATTTAAGTAACATTTATGAATTTTTGTATTTTGAAAAGTTGTGAATACAATTTTGCATAAGGAAATGGTAAGTTTACCCTAAAACACACCTTTTGTAATTTTTAGATTTATGTGGGCATTTCCAGAAATTCTGTCCCTCCAAGGATAGCAAAACCTGTCCACACACACACACACACACACACACACACACACACAAAATGCATATGGAATAAGTATTAAAGATGATATTTTAATGGTGTGGTTTCAGAGATAACCAGAATAAAAATCTCTCCGGTCAAAACGCAATATACACAATTTGACCAAATGGATCTCACCAATACAATCGCTATATTATTACAATAAAACAATCAAGAATAAAAATTGATGAGGAAAAACTGTAAAAAAAAAAAAGAGAAAGAAAACACAGTCTCTTTGTTTTTCCAGTGATCTTTTTCCAGCTTTTCCAAAAAAAGTGAAAATGTTGACTTTCACAACCATCTGTGCGATCAATCGGCATTGAAGCAGAATCTGTTGGCTCGCAGTTCTCCAAAATTGCAGTCCACAAAAATAAAAAATTAAAAAGTCAAAAATTGGAAATTTGGCTTCAAAAACTCCAGAAAAAAACTCTTTCAAATTTGCTGGTTTCTAGGCAGACTTTAGAGACCTGATCACTGCCAAAAACATTGACATCGTTTTACAAACATTACATAAATGCATATATATTTTAATATAGTTTAATCCGGAAGACAATTTCTCAGGATTTCTTGACAAATACAGTCCGAGCTATGGCTTTAAACAGTGATCTCTACCCTCAAACATTCAGCCAACTTCAACATTCAGGTAAGTCATATTGCAAAGCTGAAACTCTGAGGTTTATTTCATATTTCTTGGTGTCACTGACACAAACTGAGTTTATGACTCAAGAACGATCTTAACAGTCGACTGGTTAAACAGTATCTGCTGGTGATCAGTCTACATAAAAGACAGGGACGTTTGCTCACCGTCTTTTTAAGACTGCAATGAAAAATACTAAAGTTGAATAAGTCTATGTGCAGCTTTTAACAGACATTTCGGCACCAACGATAGAAGTGCTCTGCTACAGTCCTTCGGATTTGGCTTGATCAAACCGTTTATCATTGAGAAATAAATGCCAAAGGAGTTGTCAATGTTACTTTTGCCCTCAAAATAGATATTTCACAGTTCACAGTGACTTTTTACTCACTGTCTAACAGTAAATTAAAAATGATTTATTTTGCAATGGCGAAACGCCACCGAACATTGTGTGGTGTACGTATCAGCAGTTTGGATCTTCAGTGTGCAGAAAACAGTATATCAACTACAGCACTTCACAAACACGACGGACATTTCTGGAAAGACAAAACTGACCACTGCTGTTCATAAAACAGATTCTATGAAAAATAAGAGTGAAGCAACCCACACACAAATTATTCATAAAACCACTGTGAATTGCGAAAATGTTATCAATTCTATCCAAAACCATTTTTGCATAAATTGTCACATTTAATTCCATGCAATGATTTATACAAGAATGGCTTATGAATGACTTGAATGAATGAGGCTCAATGATTGTAGCTAGTGAAAATTACAAGTATTTTTGAGATTTAAACAACATCATTCACTTAAAATAACAGAATGACGTACCCAGAAACAGAAGAGCACAGGAAGAGAGAAACAATCTTGGGAACAGGTACCACACCTCTTTTGTGATGGCTACAGAACCTCAGTGAGAACACCTCAAGCACACACTAATTGAGGGGTCAACATTATTGGCACGTTGCGTTTCGAATATAATAATGTAACCTATTTCAAACTTTCAGCCACTTGATGTGTTTAAAAGTCAAAAACAAAACAAAAAAGCTAAACGTTAAAGCAGAACAGATGTTTGATTTCAGAAGGAACCAGAAGAGGACGTTCAGCTGAATTTGGAATGGAACAAAACGAAATCTCTATACAAATCTTTGGAATCTTGCAAAAGCAGTCGATAGAGATAACGGACAGATGAAACCTTGTGTTTAGAGAAAGAGTGCTAGAAAATGACAAAACGAGTGTGACAGTGCTGAGATGAGGCCACTCCTCCAGTGTGACGGCCAATAGGAAGCCGTGTGGGTTTACTCCAGGGGTGTGGTTTAGCGAGAGCTCCGCCCTCGCAGACTTGGTCCCCAAGCACAGTCTGTCTTTTAACCGGCAGGATCAGCAGAGGAAGTCCTTAATTTGAGCGTAACGGAGCATCATCTAAGAGGTCCTCTAGCGAGCCCGTGTCCTCCTGAGACGACTCCTTCCTGTCTTCTGCTTCCAATCGGGTCTTTTTCGTGGCACTGGGCGGGGCGCTCTCTTGAAGAAGCTCTTTGGCGAGAATGTTTGTCACGGCGTGACCGGCTCCTCTCCGATTGTTGGCTGAAATGGAAATGGAATTAATAAATTAAAGGGCAATTAAAAAGATATTCAGTTTCACGGAGGTCAAATGTCATACTTAGGGTCACTCTTTGAGGTCAGACACAGGTGTTAGAGTTCAAAGGTCATTGTTTAAAGCACTGCAGTCAAAAACAACCAACAAATTACCTTTTTATAGGAATATTCCAGGTTATTTTCCACTTAATGATCAGTACAGACAATCATTTCAGCTTGTTCCTCGGTTATAAAAACAGACCACATTTTACAATAATTCTAAATAAGCTTAATGGATTGGAAGGTTTAAAAGCATAAATGCGAAGCTCATATTTTTGTTAAATCACTCAAATGTAAATGCGTTATATGATGAAACCATTATTTGAGCTCTCCAAACAATTACTTATAAATCAAGACATTTACTTGAGAAGCAACATGACGAGGTATTAAGTCATGCTTTCTGAAAAATGTATAAAATTTAAAAGTGATATTTTTATAGCATTTGATATGCATACTTAAAATGAGAAAAAATATAAACTATTGCAACTTATCTCAGTTGATCTCAGACTTGATAGAGATATATTAAAACAAGTACATTACCATTTAATTCTTTTTTATTCAGCGGCAGAAACAAACAAAACAAAACAATAAAAATTGAGATAAAAAACAACAAAAAAGAGCTGTTAACTGTCTCAAGTTTATATCTCAAAAAAGTCTGAATTGAGATATAAACTTGCAATTGTAAGAAAAAAAATAAGCTTCCATATATTTGTTCTTGTTTTAAGCATAAAGTGAATTACTTTTTATTTTTGTATTTATTGCAGAAAACAAGACTTTATACATTATAGTTAAGCCAATTCACTTCTCAAATAACTATCTTGATTTAAGCAAGTTTCGATATTTTACTAAAAAATAGAAAAATACTGAGTTAGAAAATAATTTCTTGCACTGGGTGGCTGGACATGTCACAATCATATAATCGAGCATGTTTTCAGTGTTATTATTTAAGTGTTTTACTCTAAATGTGACCTACAACTGAGGGATGAGTTGAAGTCATTGTCTGTGATAATCTAAAGCAATTGATTCTATTCATCCACATCAAGTTGAAAATAACCTGGAATATTCCTATAAACACCATCAGATTCATATCCTGATATACGAGACAGCTGCAGAACATCATATATGTCATCATGTGCTGGTGGTCATGTTGGTATATTTAGGTCAGTGTGAGGCTGTCGAGCGTTTACACACAAGATAAACACTCCAATAACGGCTGCAGAACAAAACTCCTGTGGTGAGACATTCATAGGAAAATATTGTCTGATATATGTCATATTCCATTCACATTCTCCAGCCTGTATGCAAAACAAGACCATGCAGAGGAAACCATGATATCTCACACACACACACACACACACACACACACACACACACACACAATCCCCAGCGCCACTGATAACCATCTCTGAACAAACATCTGTAACGAAGCATGCAGAGCGATAGAGAACACACGCGCGCACACACACGTTACCAAGCAGGTGATAAGGACAGCACTGAGTCTGTTGGGGAGAAAAAGTCGTTAGGGGAGCGTTTATAGCTTCGGGTTGTGAGTGTCAGACAGACAGGACCCTTACAAACATTTACCATGGTTACAGAGTTAAAGCAGTTAAGTGTTCCTGCTATAAAATTATGGTAATGTTCTATTACTAAACAGGTTTCCAGCAGTAAGATTTTTTTTTTTGAATGCCCCAGGATGATCACAGTTTATCAGAAAAAAGTCAGTCAGTCACAGTTCACTGTTTTACCTCAGTATTTTTGTCTCATTTTCCAGTTCAAATATCTAAACATTTTTAAATCAAGATGCATTTACTTGAGATGCAAAATTACTTGAGACAGTAAAATTGCTTTCTTGTTTTCACTTAGAAATGTATCAAAATTAGGCAAGTTTATTCTTATAAAAATAGAAAATAGGAATAGGAATATCTGACATTTTGCGTCTCTAAGTATATCTTGATTTAAAGGAACACTCCACTATTTTTGAAAAGTTTTGAGTTTTACCGTTTTCAAATCCATTCAGCCGATCTCCGGGTCTGGCGGTAGCACTTTTAGCTGCAGCTTAGCATAGATCATTGAATCGGATTAGACCGTTAGCATCTTGCTCAAAAATGACCAAAGAGTTTAGATATTTTTCCTATTTAAAACTTGACTCTTCTGTGGTTACATCGCGTACTAAGACCGACGGAAAATGAAAAGTTGCAATTTTCTAGGCCGATATGGCTAGGAACTATACTCTCATTCTGGCGTAATAATCAAGGAACTTTGCTGCCGTACCATGGGTGCAGCAGGCGCAATGATATTACGCAGCGCCTGAAAATAGGCTAACTTCCGTCAACATAACCAACGTGACCACCTGCTTTCACAGGGAGCGTGCCTTCCATTGGAAGTTACCTAGCAGGGGACTATTTTCAGGCGGTTTTATGTCAATTATTCATGCAGCCCTAAGGAGTTTTCAGATGTAGATACATGCTAAATGGCTATAAATGCACAAATTAAATACATTTTGAATTTAGCTAGATGCAAACTATACATGAAACAGGGGCATGTGGCATAAAAGCCTTCAATTTCGTGACATGGTAATATGCCTCAGTACTGGTGTACTCTCTAATCACATACTCAAGTACATACTTCATCGTACTCATGCCGTTTACTTTATTTAGTACATAATTTTGCTGTGAAGTATGAGAGTTAAATGCAGCCACAAGTTAATATGAATCTGTCTAACAAAAGCCTTGTGAAGCCTACAGATTTTAGCTCAATTATTTATATTTTTGATCATTTTCCATACAGTTTCTGCCAGATATGAAGCAGCACAGCATATTTTTATACATACATTTGCGTCTTTGTAAGCATGTGATTAAAGCAGCAGCTGCCGTCTTTCGCTCAGTATCTCTCTGATTGGCTGATGAATCATTATGCATAGGGTCAGGGGTCAGAGGTCACAGGGCGTCTTCTGTCTCCACACTGCATGCCTGCGGTCTGTCTAAAGGCATCTAAACTGTGTGCATGTGTGTGTGAGTGAATGCAGAACGAACAAGTGGTCAGAATGGCTGTGTGTTGGTATGAGAGTGTGTCTGTGGCATACGTTGAGGGGTTAAGTCACAGGCGCTGTGTGTAGCTCCATTTGTGTTGTCTACATAGGCAGCATCCTAACTGTTTTGGAACGTCTACAAAGGCTGTAACTCACCGATAGCACTAACTGAAGGCATTTTAAAGGGAAGCATCATTTTGCAAAAATGTTTATGTGTTGAGAATACATCTATGATGCCTTAACATGCTGTCTAGGTAGGGAACTCACTAGGTTTTGGAACAGAGCTTGTGAGTGTGCTGCTACAGAAAAGCTAAAAATACAAAACACATCACTGATGACTCATGCTACACACAGAGAGATTTGGACTCGATTCCAAGTGAAATATACGATCTCAAGTAGCCAAGTAAACAGAGTAAAGACTGTAGAGAGATACAGAAAAGAGAGGGAATAAAAGATGATAAAGTAAAAATGGCCGGATCGAGGGAGGCAAAATGAGGGAGTTTGTCACGGAACTAAATACAAAAGATAAAAAGCACGGGGAGGGGGAGGGGGAGGGGGGGAGAGAGAGAGAGAGAGAGAGAGAGAGAGAGAG